TCTTAATTATTTGGTTTAACTACCTTCAACAAAATACTGCCATTTGGTATGGTGACAGTGCTTTTCATGCAAGCCTGCGGATCTCTATTACTTGTGATAGGTGCTCAGGTGGATTCTCATATCTACAAGGCTCAGGCCTCCAGTACATGCAGTATGTAGCTGCTGTTATTAACATCATTGTCTGTTACACTGATCAAAGAACGTTTCTAACTCCCGTCTTCCTCCAATCATGTCACATTCAGTCTTATTGATTATCTGTCAAAGGAATGTTTATTATTATCTCAAACTGTAATCTCCCTGGCTTTGCCTTTACAGTCTCTCTGAAACCCCTAAGAGACTACATGCTCCTCAAGTCTCTGGAAAAATGAGAAGGGCATACGTTTGTTGAAATGTGTGAATGCAGAATGAGACTCACTAAAATAAAAAGGTTTCATATCATGTCTGATGAAACCCTGCATCCTGGTGGATGCTGCCCTGTTCTCCCTCACACAGTCTCAACCCCCCCTCCCCTCCCCAAATCTGCTCTGTAGTCCCCCGCTAAGACATGATTACATTCTCTCTTAAAGGGAACTTTGAAAACTGTAAAGCTGGAGTGAAAATAGGCTTGAAATCTGCCACTGAATACCTTTCTCTGGGCAGCATTAGTGGTTGGTTGCTTTTTTTTTTTTTATAAAATGCAGTCTCTGTGTTCAGCATCAACTCATGGACCTGCCTCTTCTCTTTCAAATAATTTTCTAAGATTCTGTCACAACAGAGGAATCTGTCAGAGAAACAGGAATATGATATCTTTTCCACTGAGGACAACAGCAAACTTAAAAAGCAAACAGATTAAAAGTACAAAATGGTGTAAATTACTTATGTGCTTCCATTTTTATAAGGTCTGACACTTCAGCAATTTAGCTCTGCAAGACTGAAATTGTCTACTGCTTTATTTACACTGCAGCTAATTAATTTCTGGCCTGATCCTGCTCTTGACTTTTGGCCACTACCAGAATTAGATTATCATAATAACAGCAATTAGAATGTTCTCCAGCACACTGGATAGCTTTGGACATTTGATCTGACCTATTCAAAGACTAAAGAAATGAAAGATCTGAAGAAGACATTTCTGAGGACACAGAATAAAAAAGATTTTTGTAATTGCATGTCTAATTTCAACTCATTACTCTCTCATCATCTTTTAACCTTTGCATCTTCATACATGGGAAGGAAAAGATCTCTTACCCTATTCAAGTCAGTGGAAAAACACTTGCACTGCTAGTGAAATTCTCTCTCTGTTCTCATTTATGTACCATAAATAAAGAATATTTTGAGGACCTGACAATACAAATGTATTAACATCTTATAAACTCAGACATACTTGTGTAAACCAAATGCCAAACAACAATCTACAAACCACCAAACAAATCACTTGCTCCATGAGTAACCCAGAAAGAAGGTTATTCACGAATTGTGCTTTGGGATGTCCTTTCCTCCCTCACCCAAAAAGCGAGCTGTCTCTCCAACAGCAGCCATCTACCCTGTCACTTGCACCTACGCTGCGTTGGTATTCATGGAGGTATGCAGCCACTCTTCTCTAGCCAAAGGACACTGCTATGGAAGCTGCTGTCCCTTCTACCTTCTCCACGTCACAGTGTCAGCCTCCTAGTTAGACTGTCCTGGGCAACAATCAAGGGAGAAGCCAGAGGGGTGTAATGAGTGCTGGTGCCTGGCCCCCAGGCCCTGCTGGCTCTTACTGCAAAGCAGGAAGGTGGGCAGCATGGCTGCAGGCAGCAGTTCTCCCCAAGGGGCAGCTGCAGCTCCACACACCCCCTGAGCAGATACAGGAGACATTCAGCTCTACAGTGAGAAGACATAGCCTGAACAGACACTCCGAACTGCCCTCAAGAAAAAGGAAAGTAAGCTGAATGTCCCAGTATTGGCCTTCTGTTAGGGAATGGAGTTATAACATAATAATTTCCTGAACTTAAGCTGGTGGAAATGGCTGGATATATTCAGGAATATGTAAGATGGGAAAAAACAGAAGCAGAATCTTGGATGAGCTCATTTTATCTTTTTTATCACATCAGCAGACAATGTTGGACTATTTCATTGTTTTTTGATTAGACAGAAAGGAATCAACTTTATAACACAAAGGATGCTGCTTCAGGAGATTAATACCAAATTGAATCAGGCAAAGACTGCAATCACAGCCCTGGACACCACATGTGAACAGATGGCAGCCTATGTTAATAATTTGGAAGGCAAGACTGGCATAGCAGAACACAATGCATTTTAATGACCTCCATTAAAACCACGAGGATCAAGTGTGACCATATTTAAGGGCTTGCTCCTAATCTTGTAGAATCCAAAGTAAAAAATGTTATTATCATTAACAACTGCAAAATCAAACTCAGTTTGCAGAATAGCCATGGAAAGAATTAATGATTTCAAAAATAGCGGTGCTGGAGAGATAAACAACATGCCGATCTGTATTTTGTGACTAGATTTATTAAGGTCCCTGTTTGGGAATGAAACTATAGAAGGTGAAATGGTGTAGATTTATAATAATTTATAATTAATGGCCGTTCCCTTTCATTACCACTTATACACAGGAACTGTTTCACTGCTGCTTCTGGGAGCGACTTAGAATTTCTAATGACAAAACTGGTATTTAACTCTCCTCAGAAATACAATTCAACAAAAAAACCCCAAAACAAACAAAAACCCACAGCATGATGTGAAGCTGCCTTTTCAGTGATCAGTATGCTCTACTTAGCAAATAGAGTGAATTATCTTTTGTGAATTATCTTGTTGCAGTACAGAATGTTTGGACTTTAATGGCTAAACCACGAGCACTGGGGTGCTCAGGGATATCTGTTTGAAGAGTATAAATACACATTCAAGGTAATGAAAGCATAACAATAATGTCTATAAAAAAATTCTTATTAATCCATGCTAGCTACCTATGAGTACAATCACAACATGAGTTGCTGAACAGCCATCTTCTAATACTTATTCCTGATTTACAGCCTCAGGTACAAGGTTGTTCTCACTGATGTAACCAGCAATACGTTCTGACCTAAAAAAGTGGCTTTCATTTGGTCTTCATGCTTCTCAGCTCTTACTAGCTTTTGACTTTACTGATCACTCCATGGATGATCTCCTACCTGACATAAGCTTTCTCAAACTTGTATTTTTGATTTGCTCAGACATGACTGTAGAATGTTGATGTCAAATACTAGTTTGAAAAGCTTTTCTCCTACCCACAAAATAAATTTGATTTCTCATGTTTTTTTCTCTCCTTCTGCTTATTATAATCACCACTCCTGGAATTCCTTCCTTTCCTTCACCCTGTCTTTGTCTTCTTCTGTTCTTAATGGCAAATTCCATGTTCAGAAAAACAAAATTAACAAAATAAAGTCACACAACAGTAGATCAACAAATTATTTCTTCTGTTAATAGCCATTCCAGTCACTCATTTTTTAATTTTTATCACAATAAAAATCTACAGTATCAAAGTACCACCACACTAACATTGTATTAGACATTCTACAGTAAATAATATAAACATTAATCTTCAAATATTAGCTTTTTTTATCCTTTATGCCTGTTGAATGTTGAATGTTGCATTGTTTAAAACTAACCTGATACTTACTTTTGCCACTGGCAGACTTGTTCTGTAGTTAGTAGCTGGCTTGACTGAAGAGAGAAAGTGTGAGTTTTGCTTAACTAAAAATCAGTTAGCTATTTCTGCTACTGTGAAAGTAAGAAAAAAAAAAAAAATTGTCTAGCACTAGAAATCCTTTCTTTCTCTGAATAACAATTTTCTATAGAAGAATGATAAAAAATGTATTTTGTTTTTAAAAAACAGTTCTCAATATTAAAATTAATTTCCCATCATATTGGGGTTGACATGAGATTATAAACTGCACTCACTGTTTTACAAGTGTTCTGATTTTTTTAAAACTTTTTTTAGATTAATAAAGATTAATCGTAGTAAAGATCTTATATGTATAAAACCAACAGAATGTATTCTTTTACATATCTTACAGTGTAAAAAAATAGTTTTCTGATCAAATTAAGATTTGATCCATTTAGTTTCCAATTCATCTTAGTTATACGCTTGATGTCCAGTGGAAACTAAAATCCTCTTGCATTTCTCTCACATTTAAACATGGAATCTGTTTAATAAGTACAGAAAATCAATGAAGTTCAGCTAATGCCTTCATTTTTTATTCTGCAAAAATAAATACTAGTTAGGGGATTTTAATGAACTTATTTTTAACATTGTGATTTTAATAATTATCTAAATGTTTGTGTGACTACACATATATAAGCTGGTAATATTTCTATCATTAATTAAGAATTTTTCCTTAATTCCTTATTTTCAGTATTTTTTTTGAGGATTCTTGGAGGTACTTTTACTTGGTTTTCTGCACTAACCATATTTTAATGAGTAGGTTTGAAATCATCAGTTGAAAATTATCTGCTATACAGTAAAAGACGTATATTTTGCCTATGGTTAGCAAAAGTACTATCTTAAAGAAAAAAAGGAAATTGCCTTTGATTCTGTTGGAACTAGCATGAATACAGCCTGCCTTTTGAAATGCACAATATGCTTTAATTACCTGTCTGTTTTTTCCATAACTTCATTCTGCAAATGTTTCTTTTGAGCAAGTTCTCAATTGTCCGCTACTAGGAAAACATGCAATGCCTACGATGCTCTTCAGAAAACACATTTGTGGTTCTTTGGACATTGATGATTTTGTCAGATTTAGGTAATAAGAAGTAGCATTTCAAGTTACAATTCTTTAGTCTCCTTCTTCCACAGATAGCTTCGTCACAATGCAATGATTTTCTTCTTTTACAATGCTTCTTTTTCACTAACATATGAAACTTTATAAAAAAGTGTGCTATAAAGCTCTTACCACCCACAGAAAACTGATGCCAGGTCTCAATTGCAGTGGAACTCAGCCTTGGAGAAGTTACTACTGCAATTAATAGTTTGTTCGAATTACCTTCCAGAGCATATTTCATGTCCTGGGCAAACAAAGTCCACATGATTTCAGCACTGATTTTTCCCATGTTGAGCTCTTGAGGGAACCTGCAATCAATCACATTCTGTCAGTTCACCTGCTGCTAGAAAATATGCTTACAGCAGCACAGCAGAAAGGCAAATATTTCCATGAAATGATTCCCCTAGTATGCACTTACTGTACTTTGTGTTTTGTACTATTATATGAACCATCCAATCTTCAAATAAAAATTTCCCTTAGTCTAACGTCAGGGGTCTAAGTAATTAGTCAAACATTGCGCATATTCCCCCACATAACAGTTTAAATCAAGACATATCCGCCTACTTGCAGATAACTCTTCAACTTTAGATAAATCAGATGCTTTATGAAAAACCTGAAACAACTGGCTCAGATGTTTATCAACTACAGATTTTCCTTAATTCCCTTATAACAGTGGAAAATAGTGAAGTTGTGTGTGAAGCTGTGTTGGTTTATTCTACTTTAATTTACTGTTTAAAGAATTTCACCTTGAAGTATGGATAAAACAGTAAAGAAAATAAAAGGTAGAGAAATACATTCTTTTGAGCCAAAATTTTTGTTCTGGTCTTATGCTTCATGTCACTGAAAAACAGTCCTTTTTAGGTATTTTTTTCTGTTAGCAAGCAAGCATTTTTCCACAACTTTTTTATAGATCCCAGTTGCTTCATATTTTATGTAAAAGAAAATCTGTCAGTTTTCAAATCTTTAATCTTTCAGTTACTATATTCACTGTCAGTTACTAGCAGAAGTTGATACTTTAACATTTTAGTGCCAGACACTGTATATTTCACATTATATTTAAAAGGAGAGCTATTGGTCTGTCAAGACAAGAAAAGAAAAGAAAAGAAAAGAAAAGAAAAGAAGAGAAAAGAAAAAAGAAAAGAGCAAGACTGTCTTTACTGTAAGTATGGGACTGACTTAACGACACCAGTTCTCAGAGCAGAGAAGCAGACCAAAGCCGGTCACACAGGTAACAAGCAGGAAATACTGCACAGAATCTGAGTTGTAAACCAGTTGTTTATACTAGAGTGGAGAGCCACACGAGTACACTGGCAGTTCACAATGAATACATATAAATGAGGAAACGCGTAGAGTTATGTGGCTTTTGTTTTGAGCTTATTACACCACTTTACACTAGCGGAGAATTTGCAAGCATTTTCACCTAATAAAAATAAAGAAATTTACTCAACAAATTCAGATAATACTCTGTATTTTTTTTTTTTTTTGTAGAAAAGGTAAGAATTTTTAAAGTTCTTGTTGCCATAGGAAGAACAGGGATGATGTGCAACTTCAAGGTAGCAGCATGATATATGTAATGTATTCCTTCCAAGGATGTATTTCGTCCTGATCATACCTACAAAGAAAAAGTACTTAAACAGCTCATTTGCTCTGCCACTTTAATACAAAGCATTTGATAGTTCAGATCACCGATAGGCCTTCCTTACATTTTAACTTGTTGAAATACATGCATACACAAACTGCAATTGTTTTTTCACTGTGTTGCTTAAATAACTGAAATTCCATACAGTATCCTCGATTCACCCCACCTGACTTCAGACAGGTACATAAAATTCACACCCAGAGATATCAGCTTCTGTGTCCCTCAGAAATACAGACTTAATGTGTATTCATCAACTGGACATACCAATGAAATCCTTCCATCCAATGGCTATTAAAAAAGCCCATACTACTTATGAACATATTTCAGAAATAAATAACTATTATCTACTATTGTTAAAAATCCTTTTGTATACAAACTGACTATAATGAATGAAAACTGAATTGTGTGGAGAAATTACAGCTGCATGATATAGACAATTTGATTTAACATTTTTCAAGTGTTACTAATTTACAGCTGACTGGACAGAGATTACCAGAGTGTAACTGATGTAGCATTTCTGCTTCTTAAATAGAAAGTAAGTTCTAAATATTTTTAAATTTTCAACCAATTTCTTAATTTGCTAACATTAAAATCCTGGAATTAGACTTCCTCCCTCAGTCTATATTTATCTAAGTAATACTTATGCATAATTTCAATCAGCTATTCTTTTAAGGAATAATGTACAAAGTATACAGGATTGACAGAATACGTTGTGTAGTCAAAAGATTTGCTCTGCCAATGAAAAGGAAATAAAGCTGAGACCTGTGGCTTAGAACTGTGATGCAGTAAAGTTTTGTCCTTAACTAGAAAGACTATAATGTTGTGGCTGATATTTCAACCATTAGCTGGTCAGGTTAACAGAGATGTCTGTGATGCCCTCTTTGCCTAGGCATCCAGTGTTGACCACATGGACAGAAGATTGTTTTGAGCTAATGCAGCTATTTGTACAGAGTTTTTTAACAATTTAAGAGGGAATGGACATATGAAGGTCATCTAACTCAAAATAGAGAGAACCTCAAAGTTACATCAAGTTTCTCAGGGCCTGTACAACTGAATACTGACTACCTCCAAACATTAAAATGACACAATCTTTGTGGGTAACATAAATGGGTGTTTGACTGCTCCAACTGTGGAGTGTGGATTTGCTCCTTTATAGCTAATATGAGTTTCCTGACCTGAAAATTGTGTTTGTGCCTTTTACTGTGCTCTTCTGGAAGTGGTTTCACTCTTTTCCTTCTAACATCTTATTAGGAAGCTGAAGAGTGCAATCAGCTCTGCCCTTAGCTTTGTTTTCCTCAAGCTGTACAAACTGTTTCCTTGGCTTCTCCCCACGCATCATTTGTCTCATCCTCCTAATCTTGGTTGTCCTCCACGGTATTTCTCCAGTTTGACAGTAACTATCTTGAGTGGAGAATCAAAAATAGAAATAAAATATCCAAATGCATTGTCACAGGTTCTGACCAGAAGGAAGCAATCACTTTCTTCATCCTGTGGGCTGTGGTCTTGTTAATGCAGCCCAATATGTTATTATGCAAAATACAATTCAATGCACTAGCAGCTTTATTCATGAGGGCAGTAGGATTTGGTCTCCCTCTTAACATCCCTGTATTGTTAAAATGGTAGCTGAACTTTTCATAGTACCATGTTTTGATTAAAATTCCTCTGTTGCATGAAGTTTGTTTTAATAACAAATGTCATGGCTTATGAGAGCTCCTCTATCACAGCTTGAAAAGAAGCAATTAAAAACAGCCCTGGAATTAAAGAAAAGAATCTCTGAGATTTCCATAGATAAAAAAAAAAAGAAATCTAAACAACCTAATTTTCTATACAAATGAAACAATCACGTATTTTAAATATAAACCAAGAGAAATCCATAGAAATAGTCATTTTAAAACATGTCAGATTATCCACAAAAGTCTCAGTCATCCACTTAATTTCCTTCTGATGGAGTTCTTATGCAAGCGTAGGTATATTAAAATAGTTATCAAGAAAATAAGAATGTTCAAGCCTTAGAGAAGTTCAAGCAGGCAAAATTTGTATGTACTTTGTCAAGTGTATCACACCAGAAACAGTTTTCCTTTCACACTTCTCCCAAATGTGTCAGAAGTGAGGTTCTTCATTCAGTTAAAACCCACAGTATCTTATCAGTGAAGCTGGTTCAGCTTCACTGACTGTAGCAGAGGTGGCACCTTTAAAAACAGACAGTTTTAGGTATTTCTTATACCACATCTGAGACTGTTGATGTGCATGGAACAAAGTCCATTGACCTCTGTGCTGCTGATAATGCAAGATCATTTGTTCTTTCAGCTACATTACTGTTAGGACTTAAGTTCCAATCCAGTGATAGCATATCTCATTAGACACCATGATCTGCATCTTCTTTACTGTGTCACACAGATAATGAATCACAGATCTCACTTAGAGAAGCAGCATTGCTGATTCCAACAGAGGTGTGACAAGGGCAGAGTGACTTAGACTCTGCTTAAAAGCTAATGTTAAACATACGCCAGCATTCTCTATGGTAATTATAAGTGGCCAATACGAACTGGGCCTACCAAAGCAAGTGGAGAAACCAACTGCAAAATTACAAGCTTGAAAGAAATGTTCCATTTAACTCCACCAGCAGGACTGTTTGTGTGAACAATGTGGGAAATGTCTGTATTTTTTCAATTAATATTATGTTCATGGATTTGATTGTTATGAAGCAATCTCTTAAACAGTAACAACCTGGTTACACCTGCAGGACTTCATTCCAGTCTTTAATATTCTAGGAAAGAATCGAGAATGCTTCTAGTGGCTTTCCACCTGCCAGTAGCTACCGGACAATATTGGCCATATTCACAGGATGCTTCCAGTCTCTCGTACTTGCTGGATGGTTTGTATCTTACCTAGGCAAAAGGCTAAAAATTGTGTCATGTCTACTTCACAATTTATACTAACGTATCTGTTTTTAATCTCCCTAGCTTTCAGCATGCATTTTAAACTGTCTACCCCATTGTTAGAATTACATTTGTGTGTTTGATTAAGAATATAATGGTGCATGCAGAACTTGAGACTGCAGAATACTGATGAAGACTATGTATATGTATACTATACAGAAGTGCAAACCTTTTTTCCTGTGGGGAAGTGCAACTGGTATGTTTATGGTATACCCCACTCCTGCCACAATTTTCTTCAGAGATAGCTTTATGCATGAGTAGCCACATTTAATTTAATTTGGTTACTCATATGTCTGAGATTACTCATGGAATGATAATATATAATTTATTTTTTGGATTACAGTAGCACTTCTGAGGCTTCTGGTAGGTTTACAGAATTACTATACAGGAATTTTAAAATATGTAATAAGAGAAAATCACTGACCTTCAAAACTCACAGTTTAGAAAGACAAGAGAGAGAATGGGGAAGAAGACAAAGCCGAAGTGACTTGCTCAGTATCCTAGGATGGGTGAATGTCAGTCAGCGACTTAAACACTGAAGTTTAACTTAAGCTTTTGAATCTTCCTTCTGAGCCCTCTTCCCAACCAGAACAGCATATTAATTTCCTCTAATATGCATACATATGAATATATATATGCATAATGTTACATGAATACTCAGAGAAAACAGGAAATAAATAAGAGAATTCCAGATTATCAGTTAGCATTTGAAATTTTCTCCAAATACATGACTTCCAAAAATCTTAGTATTTTTTCATTTCCAGCTTGCACTTCACCAGAGTGAGGCACTTCATATTCAGTCAGACATATTTCACTCAGACTAAACTGACAGGCTGAATGAATAGCATTAGGAGAAATACTCATGTTAGGAATATGT